GGCCGGTGCTCGGGGACTGGCTGGGCATCGGTCGGCGGGTGGTGAGCAATTGCACTGTGCGTCACTTGCTTTGTGTATTATTATTATTATTACCACATTATTATTATTTTATTTCAATTATTAAACTGTTTTTATCTCAACCCACAAGTTTTTCTCACTTTTGCTCTTCCAATTCTCTCCCCCCAGTTCTTCCACCGGGGGAGGGGGGGGAGGGAGCGAGTGGCTGCGTGGTGCTTAGTTGCCGACTGAGGTTAAACCACGACAGAGGCCGTGCTGGAACACCTCAAAGCATCTGTGGCCGTGGATAAGTCTATGCCGCAGCAAGTATACCCCTGAAGAGACCATGGCTCATAGATAAGGCCACACTACAGCAGGTACACCCTTACGGGACTGTGGTCTGTGGATAAGTCCACGCCAAAGCAGGGGCAAGGGGAGGAATTCATTCCAATGTTAAACTCTATCATCTGGTCCAAAGGGACCAGGGGTGGACATTGTAACAGATACACCTTTAAATTGTTACAACCCATGATTTGAGTTATGGGAATATTACAGAAGTACTATAGCAGGAACCACTTGAACCAATGGAGGACAAGCCTCACAAAAAGCAGTGCAAGTGCAGCCATGACCCAGCTTGAGCTGGCTTTAGTGACCAGTAACTCCACGCAACATACCACCTCCCCTATCCTGAGTGACCACCATAACAGATGGAGCCCAAAGTCATGGACTAAATGAATTCAGTGGACATTTATGGCCATTTTACAGACATTTCACAAGGGTGGTCCATAGACTAAGGGAATGATACCTGTGTATATATCAAAGGATGGGAAGAGAGGGTGGTGGTTAATGAAGACGTATTGGATAGCGTGGGACCTGAGCATGATGTAAATGGTATGGACTAAGGGGTAGAGAATGTACCGGTTTTGGCTGGGGTAGAGTTATGTTCCTTCACAGTAGCTGCTACAGGGCTATGTTTTGGATTTGTGCTGAAAACAGTGTTGATAACACACTGATATTTTAGTTATTGCTGAGCAGTGCTTACACAGCATGGAGGCCTTTTCTGTTTCTCACACTGCCCTGCCAGTGAGTAGGCTGGGGGTGCACAAGAAGTTGGGAGGGGACACAGCCGGGACAGCTGACCCCAACTGACCAAAGGGATATTCCATACCAAATAACATCATGCTCAGCAACAAAAGCTAGGGGAAGAAGGAGTAAGGAGGGGGCATTTGAAGTTATGGCATTT